GAGATCGCAGATTTAGGAGAATATTCTATACCTAAATTTCGTAGTTTGCAAGAGCATTTTTACCACGTTATTATTTCCAAGCCAGGTAAGTTAATTTGAAGCGTTTTACATATCGCTCTAAGTCATACACTGTCAGAGTCAGTCATTGCTAATCATTTCTCGCTGGCATGAACCCACATAGCTTTTATAAAACCAGACTTCTGAGCAAAGCGTAAAAACATTTAACATGTATGCAGAAAAAGCAATAAAAAAGCTACAGTTCCTGCAGAACACTATTGATATAAGTGGCTGCGGATATTCACAGAAAATGAAAGTAACTTGCACACCTGGTACTTTCCCAGTGGGCTTCTCTTTACCTGTGAAAAATTGCAGAATGAAATTGACATGGTATCAAAACACAGTGCGGCAAAGTAGTTTAGGAAGCTGTAAGCGAAAATCAGCTTTCATGATGCTTTAAAACCCATTACTTAGTAAAACAACTGGAAGGTACTTATCATGATCCTCATCTTTATCATAAGCTTGACTACGTCCGCTGCAAGACAAAGGCGTTTCCTATATTACACCACTCAACCGGATCCTGTACTTTCTGCTGCTATGTTATACGCTTATAACTGCAAACTTCTTAATCTCATCTGCCCACCTAGCATTCTGTCTTCCTCTAATGCTTTTGCCTTCTTTTAGAATCCAGTCATTTACCCACAATTACGAGCGGTTATCCTACTCATGCGCTACGTGCCAACCGCAGCCCATGACAATGTCAACTTTTTATTTCAACTGCGATATACTTAACCCTCTCCCAATGAATCCCTAGTCCACTCTGCTTTGTTCTTGTCTCGTCAGTTTACATCGATCTTTTTGCTTTCCATCGCTCACTGCGTCATCCTGAATTTAAGTTGAACCCTTATTCTGCACGTCGAGGTTTCTTATCCGTGAGTGAGTACCACCTGGATTTCTATAGGTCGGTATATAGCCATTTGAATCCACTTGTTATACTTTTTCGTTCAAAATTTTTTTAATATACACTGGTGTCATATGTATCTGATCATAAGTCGGATAGCATGGGCAAACATAAATATCTCCCACAAAACGATTCGTACAAATCCACAAATACACGGCGGCCGTTAAGATTATTACTGAACAAAGAGAGACATGTTTTTTGCAATAAAGTGCGTCCATTTTTAACAGAAACAATGGAGCATTGACAGCGAATAATCTAAAAAAAAACATAGTCACCAAAAAAACATCACTGAAAACTAAAAATCCCGCTTTATTCTCAACTGAATGCACCATTACACAAAATTTTTCATAAAGTAAATTAAAATATATATTTCCGAAAGATCTACCAAGTGCAAAGCTGTGTACTGAATACATTTAAAAAGAAATGAGTCACTGTATAGTCAATAATAGTGGTTTGCAGGCAATTACACTGACGCGCCTGGAAGCGAATGATAAAGCTACATTTTAGAATGACATGAGTGTACAACATGATCAGATTCTGGTTTGCTGTACAAAACATGGATGTTCGCATGTGATAACAAGAATTATATTCAAAACGCCACAATTTCTGTACTTTTTATTACAGTTCCTCAAATTCTGCACATTGTAGGAGTAATGAGGAACACGTCAGCCTGTTGTTACTATTATAAACAAAAGGTCATACAAAAGATAATTCTGTACTTCGTATAACTTTCTGTATTTGTCCTCGATAAAATAGAACAAAAAGTCACACCATATTGACGGAGTGAATGATGATGAGTGGAGCGAAGCGTCCCGACGCCCATTCGTGCTTCTGTCTGTCCGGGTTTTCCTTCGTCCGTGCGTTTTCCATGCGTCTGTCTGTGCGTCTGTCCGTCAGTCAGTCAGTCAGTCAGTCTGTCTGCCTGTGCGTCCGTCCGTATGTTTGTACGTCCGTCCATTAGTTCAAATGCCCGCCTGTCTGCCTGTATGTCCGCCCATCTCTCTTTCTGTCTGTCTGTCTTTCTGTCTGTCTGTCTGTCTGTCTGCCTGCCTGCCTGTCTGTCTGTCTGTCTGTCTGTCTGTCTGTCTGTCTGTCTGTCTGTCTGTCTGTCTGTCTGCCTGTTCAACCGTCCGTGCGTGCGTCAGTCCATCCATCCGTTCATCCATGCATGCGTTCATGCGTCTATGCGTCTGATCGCCTTCGAGAATGCAGACGGCGCGCGGATAACACAGACACGACACGAACTAAAGAAGCCAAACGCAAGTGTTTTCAACGCGCCTGCCGCTTTGCTTCGTCCTTGTCTCACAAATTATCCACCACTCACGGCGACACTCCTGGAAACTGAGAGATGCACTCCTTCACGCACCGAGGCACAATCCGCGTAGCAGCCAATTGGAGAGTACCGGTACAGTGCCATCTGGAGTATCGTCACTCAACTGCTGTTTTATTGTGCTTCTATAAGTCAACACCGTCTTATATACCGTTCCAGAGATACTTCCTTCTTTTTTTCTCTTCTCTTCTTCTCTCGGTTACGCCACGCGCTGGACAAGGGCACCCCTAAAATGTTAGGCGGTGTAAGACTGAGAGACAGCAACAATAGCGTGTACCGATACACTAAGGGGAAGAGTGCTCAGAGAAGTAAAATGCAGCGAGAAATGTCACATACCTAAACTAAATAGTGTTAAAGAGTGACAAATGACCTAAGATATAATTTTCAGGACTCCTCAAAAGATGAGAATTGAAAATGAATTCATGAATATGAACAAGTTTTATTAGGTTCAGCAGCACGGGGTGATGTCAGGCGCCCGGCTTAGTTCCATGTCGAGGCAGATAGGCTAAGCCCAACTGCCCCTTCACGAACCCGGCAGACAGTTGTGAGCTGAGAGTTGAAATGAGAACACTCAATCTAACACGCCTTCGTTCTGCAATGGGCACACACTAGCTTATAGCTATCTAAAAATTACTATTATTAGCACCGATTCATTGAAGAAAATTTGACCACAGATTGGTAATAAGTGCACATCAATTCACTATTGATGAAATATGAGTAAATTTTACAGGGCATAGGTGGTTCTTTGTGCCTCCTCACAGGTGGTGACAAAACCTAAAGTTGCAGGTCATTTTTTTTTTTGTCGATGGAAACTTGTACTTTCGTGAACATTAGTTTGTTGTCATTGATGTAATAATTATTACAAGTATTGGCGACAACACTTTCCTTGGATTTATTTTCTGTTGGCTGTCCTTGATGTTCTCCAAGAACACGACCCCTTCAATTTCCATTCGTACACTATTGTTCTTTATCTCCTTGGTTTTTTAGAGCCCTACCTTAGTGCTTTTATGTGTAACAGTCCTTTCTTTTATTTCTTTGCGGTTCACCGTCATCATTGCTGAGCGTTGTGGGGTTACCTCCAAGCCGGAGTCACCGAGATATTATTCGTTAAGGATTATTGATAACGCTTTCCACTCTACAGCTGTCAAAATGAGTCTTCTAAGGGCGCATTGAAGAACTTCCTCGAAAGCCTATCTTCTTGTTCACCACTTTTCCAATCGAAATTTTCTTGTTCTTCTTCTGGGGAAGCAGGGCAATTGTTGGTATGTATACGGTTTTTTATTTGTTGTGGGCGTTAATTGGAGAGTACTTGTTGATTGCACGCACACACATATAACTTTATTTATTTATTTGCTTATCTATTATTTATTTATTTATTTAACACTATGCTCCCGTAGCACGGACCTCTCTGGCTGGAATTTCAACTGCGATGACGCATTCACGGGGCTGCGCCGGCTACTCACGTCTCCGGCGATTCTCCGCCACTTCGATCCCAATGCACCAAGTGAAATTCACACGGATTCCAGCGGTGTCGGCCTCGGTGCCAATTCTTTGCCAGTACGTTCGCCAGTACGTTCAATCATGCACCACGTGTCAACGACGCAAGACGTCTTCTCACAGCGCTGCTGGCCCTTTGCAACCCTTAACCTGCCCAGCGAGACCATTCAATCGCATCGGAATGGATACTTATAGTCTTCTACCCCAAACTCTTAGAGGCAACAGTGGATTATCGTCGCCGTCGATCATTTGACACGCTACGCTGAAACATCTGCGCTGCCTGCTACCACAGCGAAAGACGCTGCGTCCTTTCTTCTTCACCATCTCATTTTGCGACACGGTGCACCTCGTGAATTACTGAATGACCGAGGACACGTGTTTCTCTCGAACGCCGTCGACGAGTTGCTCCAGGCATGTCGCACTGTCTGTCGGTAAACCTCGGCATACCATCCTCAAACCAATGGCTGGACAGAAAGCTTTAATCGTATCCTTGGAGGTATGCTTGCCATGTACGCCTCTGACGACCACACTAATTGAGACCAAGTGCTCATTTTTGTCTCGTACGCGTACAAATCTGAGTCACAAACAACCACTGGCTTTTCTCCTTTCTTTCTCCTGTACACGCGTGAGCCATCATGCTCCATGGACACCATTCTTCCTTACAGGCCTGATGTTTTCGAAGCGACGCCTGTTTCCGAAGCAGCTGCTTATGCCAAAGAGTGTCGTTAACTCGCTCGCTCATTTACCGCGCAAGACCAATAGCGCCAAAAAACTAACCACGATGCCTTTGCGTATAGTGTCCACTATAACCCAGGAATGCTGGTTTGGCTCTGGGTCACGTCTACCCCTCCCCGTCTTTCCCCGAAGCTTTCGTCGAAATACCATGGCCCCTTCCGTGTGGTGCGACAATCATCTGCAGTCAACTATGAAGTTTAGCCCATTGATACACCTTCGGACCTGTAACAGACCGGACTATCTGCTATCAGCATTCGCCCTAGGCGATATCGTCTTCTCCTCCTCTACACCGTTTCGTGTGCTTTACGTTCCTTCCTTTTCTTTCTTTCCCTCTTCCTCGCTGTGAGCGCGGCTACTTAAGCCCAGCAAATAAACGGCCAGGGGTCTTTCGTTATGGCGAGGCCCAGCCACGTGTTCATCGTCGTCTTGTCTCTGAGCTAAACGATACATGGTGTCAGAAGTGGGGTACTGACGTTCGAAATGAACCTCGTCAAGCCCCCGGAACCGCTGCAACTGTCCGGCAACATCAGGAAAAACTGGCTGGTATTCAAGCAGAAGCTGCAGCTGTTCATCACCGCTACGGAACCGGAGAAGCCCCGCCCATCGGCCGGAAAAGCAGCGATTCTTCTGAGCACCGCGGGGGACGAGGCGCTCGAGGTCTACAACAACTTCTCGTTTGCGGCAGGTGAGAGCAAAGAAGATTATGACACGTTAGTGCTGAAATTTGAAGAATATTGTGTCGACCAGGGTAATGAAGTCTACGAAAGGCACATTTTTCGACTGCGAAAGCAGGAAGAGGCCGAGCCCTTTGAGCGGTTCCTACGGGACTTAAAAAAGCAAGCAAAGCTGTGCAACTTCGGTACGCTTGAAGAGTCCATGATCAGGGATCAAGTGGTGTTTGGGACAAATAATGCGAAACTTCGAGAAAAGTTGCTGAGCGACAAAGACTTAAACTTGCAGAAAGCAGAAGAAATTTGCAAAGCTGCTGAGATTGCTGCCATTCAGAGCGCAGCATGGTCATATGAAAGCCTGCACGTTGACGTTACACGCCGCACACACCACACGAAGTTTGCGAATGGAACTCGGTGTCGAAATTGTAACAGGGTACATGCCCCCGAGCAGTGCCCGGCGTATGGAAAAACTTGTTATGTATGCAAGAAACGAAATCACTTCGCCGCATGCTGCAACAATGCGCGCAGGGTAAGCGAGGTTCACAAAGCCGAAGAAAGCGATGAAAATTTTGACATCTTGGGCATCAGCATTTGTGGCGTCACCGGAGATATAGGAGCGGATTGGATGGTTCACGGAAAAATAGCCGGTCAGGAAATACAATTCAAGGTAGATACCGGGTCTCAGGCAAATTTGCTGCCCCTAACCCTGTTCAACCGAATCGCCCATGCAAGCACTCCGCGAAAGAGTGCCGCTGTCCTCTCCGCCTACAACTGCAGTACAATTAAACACGTTGGCGTGGCGACCGAAGATCTCGAGATAAACGAAGCACAGCATTCAGTCTCGTTCTTTATCGTGAAAAAGGGGCGCCAAGCCATCCTTGGCTTAAAGACATGCCAGCAGTTTGGTCTGGTACCGGTGACGGTGGACGCCGTGAAGGTAGGCGATGGGCAAACGAAATTCCAGCTTGCATTTCCTGACCTCTTCAGCGGCACCGGCTGCGTCAGGCGACCCTACAAAATGGTGCTACGAGAGGATGCCGTTCCAGTCGTGCAGCCTGCCCGCAGAGTACCCATAGCGTTGAAAGGATGCCTGCGACAAGAACTGCAACGAATGGAAAAGGCCTCAATCATCGTCAAGGTGGATGAACCAACTGAATGGGTGAGCCTCCTGGTAGTTGTGCACAAGAAGGATGGTACCCTTCGCATTCGCATGGACCCTAGAGCAGTGAACAGGAGCATTAAGCGGGAGCACTATCCTATCCCTTCAAGAGAGGACATAGAGAGCGAGCTGGCAGGAGCACAATATTTCTCCCGGCTCGACGCTAATGCCGGCTTTCATCAGATTCCTTTAGATGAGGCCACTTCACGAATATGCACTTTTGCGACACCATTTGGGCGGTACCGTTTTTTGCGTCTGCCTTTTGGAATTTCCTCAGCCAGCGAGGTGTTCCAGAAAACTCTAACAGAGATGCTCGAAGGGCTGCCGGGAGTGCGCGTCTACGTAGACGACGTTTTAATATGGGGCGACTCAAAGGAAGAACACGACGAACGCGTCATCGCAGTACTAAGGCGGGCGCAAGAGGAAGGGCTGACATTAATCCAGCTAAATGCGTGTTCGGCACCACGCAGGTTTCATTTCTTGGCGACGTTATGGGAAGAGACGGAATTCGTCCGGACCCCGATCTAATCGAAAGCGTCCGTGTCATGCCAGCCCCAAAAGATAAACAGGGTGTGCGCAGATTACTCGGGGTTGTGAACTACTTTCGGAAATACCTGCCAGCTTTGAGTGATAAAACGGCGTTGCTGCGTAGCCTGGTGAAAGAAGCATCAGTGTTTGAGTGGACAACAGCCCATGAGCGCGAATGGGACCAGATCTGCGCAGCGCTTGCTAATCCTCCATTGCTGGCTCTTTTTGATGAAAAAAGAAACACTAAGATAACTGCGGACGCCCCAGGAACAGGTATTGGCGCTGCCTTATTGCAAAGACACGGGGATGACTGGCGCCCAGTGACCTACGCCTCAAGAGCGCTGACGCCGAGTGAAGAGCGATACGCCCAGATAGAAAAGGAAACACTGGCAATTGTTTTCGGTTGTGAAAAATTTCATCAGTTCGTGTATGGACGAAGCATTACGATAGAAACTGATCACAGGCCATTACTTGCGATTGCCGAAAAGAACATTGCAGATATGCCACCCAGGATACAGCGGTTTTTCATCCGTCTTACGAAATGTTATTTTTTGTTGCAGTTTGTACCTGGTAGGGACCTGTTACTCGCCGACCTGCTGTCTCGGGCTGCACTACCAACTGGCGGAGGCGACCAAGTCGAGGACGTGGACGTCCACACAACGCAAGTAGTCACCAGCATCATAAGCAAAGCGACTATGTTGCGGCTGCAGAAGGAAACCCTCGAAGATCCGCTTCTCAGCCGCACCATGAAACAAATGGAAGATGGCATAGCAATAGACGGTGTACTGAAACCGTATGCGGAAGAGCTATCCGTGGTCAATGGAGTGGTGCTAAAGGGTTGCAAAGTTGTGGTGCCTAAATCAATGCGTGCGGAAATTCTTGAGCGAATTACGAAGGCCACTTAGGTATTAACAAGTGCAAAGCTAGAGCCCTTAGACTGGTTTTCTGGCCGGGAATGAGCAGTGACATTGAGCGACGAGCGCGAACGTGCAGCGTATGTCGAAAGTACGCATACAGTCAACCGAGTGAACCCCTCCTGCTACAGCCAACGCCCGACCGACCGTGGCATCGCGTAGGCATAGACCTATTTACATTCGCTGGAGAACACTACGTAGTTGTGTTTGATGCCCATTCTAACTTTCCTGACGTCGAGAAACTCAGAGGTACCACGGCGGCGGAAGTAATCGACAAGATATCTGCTATCTTCTCGCGATACGCCATTCCCAACCAAGTTTGCACCGACAACGGGCCTCAATTTGCATCACGAGAGTTCGCGTCCTTCGTGCGCCGATATGACTTCGAGCATATCACCTCAATTCCAGAGTTCCCACGATCAAATGGCTTAGCTGAAAAGGGGGTACAGATCGTGAAGCGTATTCTAAAGAAAACCCACGAGTCCCGGGGTGATGTATGGCTTGGTCTGTTGGCTTATCAATATTCTCCCCTTGACAGCGGTCACTCACCCGGAGAACTACTGCAAGGTCGTCGCCTGCACGCCACTCTTCCAGAATACAACGTCGACGGAGGCATACCCGTATGGAAACAGCGACAGTCTTCCCGAGGCAGGCCACTACCACCCTTGGAAGCCGGAAATGTGGTCCGGATCAAACATGGAAGCTGGTCACGCCGAGCGAAAGTGGTACGATCGACTGCACCACGATCATACGTGGTAAGAACGGAAGACCATGGGCTCCTGAGACGGAACCGACAACACTTGCTGCGAACGGACGAAAACTTCAACGACAAGGTCAGCCCCGAGGGTAATCCGAACCCCGACGCGAGGCCCCCGACGAAGTTCAGTGATGGACAACGCGGCAACATCACGCCGGACAACCCACTGGGGTGTCACCAGGTGCAACCAGCTCAGCCAGAAGAAGATTATAGCGCCACCATTTCTCCAGACACTCCAGGAAGCCCACTGGCTGGCCTGCGCAGGTCAGGACGCCAGCGCAGCGAACCGAAGCGCCTTCACTACGGGCCATCCTTCCATCAAGTAAATGAGTGCAAAAGAAATCAGTGTTTTGAAAATGTGTGAAGAGAAGATGTAACAGACCGGACTATCTGCTATCAGCATTCGCCCTAGGCGATATCGCCTTCTCCTCCTCTCCACCGTTTTGTGCACTTTACGTTCCTTCCTTTTCTTTCTTTCCCCCTTCCTCGCTGTGAGCGCGGCTACTTAAGCCCAGCAAATAAACGGCCAGGGGTCTTTCGTTATGGCGAGGCCCAGCCACGTGTTCATCGTCGTCTTGTCTCTGAGCTAGATGATACAGGACCAACGCTGCCGTAGGCGTGAAACAGAACACGTATCACGCCTAAAACCGTGCTATGACCCCCTCGTCGTGTCATTCCCCTAGGTAGCCAGGTTAGCTCCATTTTGCGCGGGGAGTAATTTGTACCGGAGCACAGTGGTGCCAGCTCTGTCCCAGCGTGAAAGAAGAGGTTGACGACCGTGTGTGGCTCGTGCTTGCCGGGTTCCTGCCTGTACAAGCTTGTTGCGGCTAACGCTTCTCGAATAATAACCTGTGTTTTTACGTAACCTCGCTCGTTGCAATATATATATATATATATATGTATATATATATATATATATATATATATATATATATATATATATATATATATATATATATATATATATATATATATATATATATATATATATGTGTATATATATCAGTAGATACTCTTGTTATTTTGTATTATGTTTTGCTGCATGCAATCATGTGCACGCAGCAGGAGTGCTGTCAGGCCTTCGCAATTTTACCACCTTTCTGTAATGTTGCTTAAAGAATAAAGGCTTCCTTCCATTCTATCCGATGTGTTTGGTGTTGGTTTAGGCATTCATACATGCAACTCCTTGGCGACGTGATGTATTAACGTGCCCGCATCTCTGTTTAGTTAAGTGGCCAATAAAAAAACTGCTTATTCTGTCTCAGTGGGCACAAAAAGCTGTGCTCTACAGAATTAAGGGCGAAGCTCCTTTCGGTCTAGGGCAGTTCATTCCTCCGGCATAGCCAGCTTAGCATATGCAGCAACAGACAGACAGACAGACAGACAGACAGGCAGACAGACAGGCAGGCCGGCAGGCAGGCAGGCAGGCATTCGGCCAGCCAGACAGATGGGTGCTTCGCCCCATTTATGACATTTCACTCCGTGGATAAGCTCTTACTTTTTCAAATGCGTGATTCATTGCATGGCCGTATTAATGACAGATTACTCTTCCCTGAAACCAGCATGCTCTCTAGGTTCAAGCACTAGTATGTGTTAGATTAGTATATTTTACGTAGTATATTTTACATATTTCGCCCGACATGTTTTACATATTTTGCCTTTTCTGCCTTTTTTTTACTTTGTCGTTGAAATTGCTAAAAATATTTTCTTGCCCATTCTTTACATCAAGCAATTTAGACTCTGTATAAACAATTTCTATTCAGCTGCGTTGAAATTGCGACATTTCTGCTTCTTTCTTGTTTTAGCTTGGTACGTCACGGAGTTATCTCGAATTTAAAGTATTGTGACATCACCATAACCAGACTGATTATGCTTAATAGAGCACAAGCTTCTACCATGTTTCACCGATCAGTCTAATCTGGGGCCACGTTATACCCACAACGTTCCTAACCCTGCCCCCATGCTTCTTTGTAAGCACCTGTCACGGTGGTCTAAAGGCAAGACACTCGACTGCTGAGCCACAGGTTGCGGAATCGAATCCCGGCCACGGAGGCTGCTTTTTAGATGGAGGCTCAAATATCTGAGGCCCATGGTCTTAGATTTAGGTGCACGTTAAAGAACTCTAGTTAGTCGAAATTGCCGTACCCCTCCACTACGGCATCTCTCGTAATCACAAGGTGGTTAAGGATGCTAAGCTCCAACAATTATTATGACTTCCTTTTTCCATATCGTGCATTTACCTTATGCTACAAGCTGCCACTCTAGCGTCGCCAGCGCGAAGTCGGCGACGGGAATGACAGCAGGTTAGTTCGTTCCGCACGCGAGCAGAGACAGTGAAGAGATCAGACACGTGAGAAAACAAAACAACCTTTACTCTAGTGATATTGCAGCACACGGGATCTAGTACAACACTTCAATACAACTAACATATTACATCAACGCTTGATACAACTAAAATACATAAAACGAAAACAATAAATCAGCTTACGAGAGAGAACTATTACAAACTACACAAACTAATATTGTTACGTGAGAACAGAACGACCACAACGTCTGTTCACAGGAGCAGCACTGGACGTCGAGCCGAACCGAACGTTAGAGCACGAGCACACCAACGGTCCTCTTCTTCTTTCACACCATGGCACATACTCGCATTGGCAGGCTAAACCTCGTTCCATGCCTGCGGCATTACCCCCCCCCCCCCCTTCGAAAAAAAAGTACCACCCCGATGACCAATGCCGATTAAAAGTTAAAGTAATCGCGTACACGCACAAAGATGCATGATGAAGCAGTGTCATGTGGCTCGGGGGTAGTGTGGCTTCATCCGTGACACTTGAACAATGTCGGCCTGTTGGGAACGCCGAGATCGCTGAGCTGTGTCTTCAAGCAGAATTTTGTAGTTGACATCTGTGAGGCGCCGTAGTACTCTATAGGGACCAAAGTAGCGGGGAAGTAACTTTTCCGAGCGGCCCCTTTGGCGAACGGGGATCCACAGCCCGACAAGATCACCGGGTTGGTAAATAACATGGCGATGACGGGAGTTGTACTTCTGCGAGTCGATTCGTTGTTGTTTTCGGATCCGCTCGAGTGCAAGCTGGCGGGCCGCGTCCGCGAGCCGGATAAAGTCGTTCGCATCAGTAGTAATATCGGTCGTGTCAGGCAACAGCATGGCATCAAGCATCATACTTGCTTCTCGGCCGTGAAGCAACCGGAAGGAAGTGAAACCCGTAGTCTCTTGAACCACAGTGTTGTAAGCGAACGTTACGTATGGCAAAATTGCATCCCAGTTTTTGTGATCACGGTCGACGTACATAGATAGCATGTCACGAGCCTCTTGTTTAATCTCTCCGTCAGACCGTTGGTTTGCAGATGGTATGCGGTTGTTTTGCGATGAGCTGTTCCACTAAGTCTCGTGACGTCTTGCATCAATTGGGCTGTAAAGGCTGTTCCACGAACAGTGATAAGAACTGTTGGCGCTTCATGGCGGAGGACGATGTTGTTGATGAAAAATACGCAACCTCATTGGCGGTGCCTCTTTGTAGGGCTTTCGTTTCGCAGTACCTCGTTAAATAGTCAGTAGCAACTACGATCCAGCGGTTGCCATCATGTGACTTCGGGAAGGGCCCAAGCAAGTCCATGCCGATTCGTTCAAATGGTTGTGACGGGGGTGCAACAGGCTGCAATAAACCAGCAGGGCGCACAGGTGGGGCTTTACGGCGCTGGCAATGATTACACGTTTTAACGTAATGCTTGACATCCTGGGTGAGCTTTGGCCAGTAGTAGCGAGTCCGAATCCGGGCAAGGGTACGTGCGAATCCTAGGTGGCCGGAGGAAGGCTCGTCGTGGCAGGCAGATAAAAAGTCAGTACGTAGCCCTGGTGGAACGACGAGGAGGTACTCAGTCGCACAAGGTTCGAAGTTCTTTTTGTAGACGATGTCGTTGTGGAGACAAATTGACCCTGAACGTGCGAATGCCGATGGTGGACTCGAGCTGCGACCTTGAAGGTATTTGATAAGTTGTTGGATCTCTGAATCATTCCACTGTTGCTGGGCCAAGTCAGATTCACTGACTGCACAAAGAAAATGGCCATCGGTATCATCGTCCCTCGATGTCGTCGCGTGAGGTGCGCGCGAAAGGCAATCGGCATCAGTGTGCCTGCGGCCCGACTTGTAGACGACTGTAACCTCAAATTGTTGAAGGCGTAAGCTCCACCTCGCGAGGCGCCCTGAAGGGT